TATTTTAATCATTTTTTAATTATTACCTTCGGGCACCCTAGGAATTTGAATCATTTTTTGTGCCCTTTTGTTAATTCTCTTTTATTCCTCCCATCACTACAACAAAATATCATATTCATGTTCTTCAAAATATTTTTATTATGCAAAATCTATTATAATTCGTATTTAAACATTTGTAATAAACTATTTAAAACATAAATTTAAACATATTTGAACCTTTTTTTTGTTTTGATAATTTTTCTTTTACCTAAATTTAAACTACATATTAAAAGAATCCTAATTGTCAATCAGAAGACGATGAAAGACTATTTAACAAAACAATTTTTTGCTGTTTTTTTTTACCACAACAACATGTGATATTTACATCTCTAATTTAAAAAAGAAAATTAAAAAAATATACACTAAATATACATTTTAACATCTCTATATTATTCACTAATTTTTTTACTTTTGGGTTTAAATATTCTACGAAATATACACTTGTTGCTCAGTAAATCGTAAATCCGCTTCCAAATACATTATAAAGATTTCCTTAATGCTCATGGAAAATATTTTTCAAAAATAAAAAATTTTCATTTCTTACAAAAGAAACGTTGCTAAATATTCACGATTTTCAATCGATTTTGCTCTTTCGTACATAAATCACTGTTCAATCAATTTATTTTCACATTCGCCTCATTGTGAAGTTTTGAAAATTAACCAATGCTTGTGGTTCAAGTGGTAAGGAGTTTGTTCCCCTTAAGCAAGGTCTCGAGTTCGAGCATTGTGAATGAAGCAGCCATCATTGGAAGAGCTTGCCCCGCGAATGGGGTCCGACCCAGCTTGAGGGATTAGTCCTCACCTACGTGCAGGGGGATACCCTGGACTCATAAAAAAAAAAAGTTTTGAAAATTAAGGTGAGACTTTCCGTTGAGATTCTTGAGTGCAGAACCCCATTTGACAATGCTTTAGGCCTCACTACTATGTTTTAAACTTATTTTTTTAGTTTTCGGCTTAAATATTCCACTAAATATAGATTTGTTGCTCAATAAATTCTAAAACTACTTCCAAAATCCTTAAAAAGTTTAAATAAATGCTCGGGAAAAATATTTTGTGAAAATAAAAAATTTGCATTTTTGTGAAAAAATCTCATATCCCGACCCGAGGTCCACCACATCCCGGGCCCGCTCCATCGTTGTAGCACGATATTGTCCGTTTTGGGCCCCGACCACGCCCTCACGGTTTTGTTTATGGGAACTCACACGAGAACTTCCTAGTGGGTCACCCATCATGGGAGTCCTCTCGTGCGCTACTCTCTTAACTTCCAAGTTCCGATGAACTCCGAAGCCAGTGAGCTCCCAAAAGGCCTCGTGCTAGGTAGGGATGAGAATATACATTTAAGGATCACTCTCATGGGTGATGTAGGATGTTACAATCCAACCCCCTTAAGGAGCCCGGCGACCTCGTCGGCACACCACGGCCAGGGTTAGGCTTTGATACCATTTTGTCATATCCCGGGCCCGTTCCACCACCGTAGCACGATATTGTCCGCTTTGGACCCCGACCACGCCCTCACGGTTTTGTTTCTGGGAACTCACATGAGAACTTCCTAGTGAGTCACCCATCATGGGAGTGATCTCATGCGCTACTCGCTTAACTTCCGAGTTCCGATGAACTCTGAAGCTAGTGAGCTCTCAAAAGGTCTCGTGCTAGGTAGGTGATAAGCTCATGTTTATATATATTTTACATCAAATTCACTTGTCTTTTCTTAGTTAGTTCCTTGTATTTTTTAGCTATTTACTTTGTTTTTGTGTTTTGTGGGATTTGTCAAGCAAATAAAAGAAAAAATAGCACAAGTGAGATTTTAAGTAACAAATTCGTTAAAAATGCATGTGCAGATCAGCTGACTTTGGAAGCAAGTTGCGAACAGCTCAGAATGAATTAGAGAATGAGCCTTATATGCTTGGAAATCTACGGATGTCTATTTTCTGGAGCATTTCACGGATTGTTAATATCATTTTTTCTAGAAGACGTTATGGCCGTTTTAACACTGAAAGGTTACCAAGAGGCTGAGCAGTTTGTAACTGCAATAAAAGCAATAAACCCAATAAATCTAACAGCCAAAACTGATGCAGCCAAGAACAAGTCAGCTGATACCTATTCAAATATCAGAGGAAATGGAAAAAAAGATGAGAATTAAGTGGGAGTAATTGACATAAAGGCTACCCAAAGAGTTACAATTGTTTTACAATTTCCTCTTACTTATTGTCATCACTAAATGGCTATTAGTGGGTGAGTTAAGGAGAAGAAAAGGATGCAGCAAGAATTGGTTTAAAAGCAGCGTTAGGGAAGGAAGGAAATAGAGGAGGAGGCCTTGGTTGATTTCTTTTGGTTCTATCTTCTCAAACTCATGTCTATCTTTTGTTTTAACTTAAGGATTGTGTGTAACTAAATTTTTAGTAGTTAGGGGCTGTTTTGAAGCCCCGAATATGATTGCAAGTTTGTTATGACATTTCGTTTGAATTACTTTTATGAATGGATGAAAATTGGTTCACTACTTGTCTCATTGATGAATTCTTTATTTGTTTTCTATGGATGCATACGTAGTAAGCATATGTAGGATTATAACACTATGAATATGTGTGTGTCTGCCCTTGTCGAATAAGGACCTACATATGTTCTAGAGTAGTACTTGTTAATTGCGATTAACATGTGAACCAATTTCTAGAATAAGTAAGACAACGCCAGTACTTACGATGCCTTGTGATGACTCAAACTCTTTTCGTTCTTAATGATTTCTACTTGTTAAATCTATGAACACGTTCTAGATTGCATGCTAGAGACTAAGTTAAGTTGAAAACGCCATTCTCTTAACATATTACATAAGAAAGAGTAATAGGTTGAGTTCTAAAATTGAGCAAACTTGAGCATCTTCATCCTGAAATAAAAGGAATTTGAATGAAATATAACATGTTTGCATGATTATTTGGTGGTGGATAGCAATTCCCCTAACTCGTTTTTCTTAATTTGTGAACTACCTAAAATCTATTTCTGTCCTGTTTTTGTTCCATTTAATTTAAATAGCAAATCAACTCCAAAAATCCCAAAAATTTGTAAGTGTAGTTCTGTGTGTCTAGTATCTTCATATAAAATTTCATAGACTTTAGATAAGTGTAAGTCGGTCTAATAATTATTTTTCGGTGGATGGTCAGTAGGGACAGCAACTAGTTTTTGTGACATAATAGTTAGATAAAACAATCTTTTGCGGGAAAAATCCTTATTTTCATATGCTAGAATTGACAAATCTTAGTGTTAATAAGGAAAATAAATAGGACATTTGTGTGCTACTTTGTGGTGTGCTTTTAATCCTATCAAATTTTTGGCGTCGTTGCCGGGGATTGTTATGTCTAATTACTTAGTTCTCTATTGTTTTCTTTTCTTGTCTAATTAGTGTTTTTGTTTTTGTTTTTGTGTCAGGTACTCTTCATAGTATATGCATACTCGAATGTCCAAGAACCAACCCTATGTCAAGATCTTTTGCGGAGCATAATGTGGAGGTTGTACCCATCCAAGAACCATCTCCCTTGGATGATTACTCTTGGTACCGTCCGGCTGCAGACGTAAAAGCAAGCGCTTATTGGGAGGCAACCCAATATTTATACTCTTTGTCTTTTTATGTCATTTTCAATTTTCCATTTGTTTTTGTTTTCTGAATTTTCTTGCATGCTGAACTGAATATGATAGTTTGTTGTAGTGGTAAGAGAAATAACAAAAATGATTGAAATTCTTGGGGCTAACTTTCCTTGCCCATCCTTTTTCGAATGATTCAGTGTAATTGATTGTCACACTCTCTCTAGACCCAATCACATGGTAAACCCGACCACGGTAATGAGAATGGTTTTCCTCTCTTATGAGATTTTTTTTTTTCAACCATTGGAGCTAAAGATATGCCTTCTTCCTTGTTCACAAAAACCCTTTTCTAAAGGGCAAAGAGAACAAAAGCAAGAGCAACTTGACTTTCTGGCACCCTAGGAATTTGAATCATTTTTGTGCCTTTTTGTTAATTTCTCCTACAATTACAACAAACTATTATATTCATATTCTTCAAAATATTTTTTTCGTGCAAAATCTATTATAATTCGTGTTTAAACACTTGCAATCAATGATTTAAAACATAAATTCAAAGATATTTGAACCTTTTTTTTTGTTTTGATAATTTTTCTTTTACCTAAATCTAAACTACTTATTAAAAGAACTTTCTTTGTCAACCAAAAAACTGTTTAACAGTCGCCATTGGACATGAAAGGCTCTCTCCTTGAAATTCCATCTACATCTACTGCATGCAAATCGAATGATGATAGGGCCCAAGTCCTCTCTATGAACATCACCTATCACCTCCTTTACCAAGTAATGTTCTCTCTTTCAAATTTGATTCATATCTTCACCATATTTTTATAATTATAATCTGTTTGTTGGAAATTCAAGCAATTTGGCATTTGGGCCAACGTCAACTAGCTTCAAATCGAGGCCGTTCGACAAATGATGCAGTTGGGGTGAAAAAAAAAATGGATTTAGATATTTGAGGTTATTTTAGGAAGAATTGGGGTGGATTAATAGGATTTTATTTTTTAAATTTTTTATGGTGGGTGAGATTATAATGTGGGGGTGTAGAAATAATTAAAGTGTTAAAACGCACCTATCTTAAACGATGATATCATTGGGTAGATTATCTCCATTTTTTCAGCTTTCATCAACTTTGCATGTAGTTAAATATTAAGTGTAGAAATAAAGTGATAGACTTAAAGTGTCAGTATTTTAGACGTAATTAAATTAGACATGCAATTTGCAAAAATAAAAATAAAAAATAAAGTGTTTTTTGTTTTCCAGATACAGCCAACGACATGTCGTTAATATGATTTGTATTTTGGAAAGGGAAGCCTGTGGCCACGAGAACAAGTAGCAGGAAGACAAGAATAGAGAAGAAAGGAAGACTATAAATCCGTTTCATTCCTTGTCCGTCTTCATTGTGTCTCTCCCGTCTTTGCTTTCCCATTCCATTTCCTTTGCTTTTGCTTTTCTGCGGCATTTCGTCGAGCAGGTTTTCTTCGATGTTTTTGTTCACGAATTGTTTACACATACAACAGACATGTATGGTTCATCTTCTTATCCGTTTTAAATGTGTGCTTTTCTTTTAATTACAGAAACCATGATTAGGTTGTTTAAAGTGAAAGAAAAGCAAAAGGAAACAGCTGAAAATGCAAAGGAGAATGGTCTCGTAAAGAAGCAAAGTGCAGGAGAATTGCGTCTTCATAGAGGTAAATACGATTTTAGGACGTAAATATGTTATGATTTGCTGCAATGTGGTACAAAGTTATACTTTTGCATGCATGTTAAGTTCCTAAACACACGTTTAACTCCAACGTACGTAAAGGCAAGGTTTCGGTGTTTATTTTAATTCCTTCAACCAGTCCTTCAATTGTATTATGACACAGAACCGAGCGTAGCCGACCCCACTTAGTGGGAAAATGACGCATGTTAAGTTCCTAAACACACATTTAACTCCAACGTATGTAAAGGCAATGTTTCGGTGTTTATTTTAATTCTTTCAACCAGTCCTTCAATTGTATTATTACATAGAACCGAGCGTAATGACGTTTTAGGATTCATACAGCCGACTCTACTTAGTGGAAAAATGCTTTGTTGTTGTTGTGTTGTTGTTGTTGTTTGTTGTTGTTGTGAGTTGAACATGCCATAAGAATGCAAAATTTCATTCCCCAATGGAAAGGATGATTTGATGGACTTTGAGTTGTTGTCGTCGTCGTCGTCGTCCTTCAATTGTATTAAGTTGTTGTCTTGTAGATATAAGTGAGTTGAACATGCCAGAAGAATGCAAGATTTCATTCCCCAATGGAAAGGATGATTTGATGGACTTTGAGATCACCATTACACCTTATCGGGGATATTATATGTAAGTAAACTTTGATCCGAAGCTTAATTTGGCTCTCTATACGTTGTTTGGATTTTGCAACTTCGATGTCATCTTGCTGAATCCGACATTTTGTACCTCTTTTCGTAGGGGTGGTGGGTTTGTCTTCTCATTTAAAGTTCCCGCAGTCTACCCTCACGAGCCTCCGAAGGTCAAGTGCAAAACCAAGGTAACGAAACCTAAGTTATATCGGAACTTAACTTTCGAGTCTATTGGTTACGAACTTACGATCCAAACCATAATATATATATCTGGTGTTGTATAATGCATGCCATCTGTGCAGATCTACCATCCCAACATCGACTTAGAAGGAAACACTTGCCTTAACATTCTTCGGGAAGACTGGAAACCTGTCTTGAATATAAACACTGTTATTTACGGATTGTATCACCTGTTCACGGTATCTCTAATCATAACACAAAATCTTTGGTGACCTCAAACAAATTATCCGTTTTGTTGTTACGAGGATATATTTGGATGTGTACCTTTTGTGGACTAAAATCCTACATTTCTTTATGCAGGAACCTAACCATGAGGACCCCTTGAATCAAGAAGCAGCAGATCTTTTGAGGGACAATCCAAAATTGTTCGGATTGAACGTGAGAAAATCGATCGAGGGAAACATATGGGTGGGAGGCGCCCATTTCCCTGGGTGCAAAACGGGCGACTTCTACTGATTCGGTTTATCTAGGGTTTTGCTTCTCCGTGGTCCAACCATGGTTGTATGAGGTTGAAGGGGTTTGTGTGTTTCTGGGGTGTTTTCTGCATTTTAGGTGAGTACTTGGTGGGGGATTGTCTTGTGGCAAATTTTCAGCCCATACATGTAGCAGGAGAGTGTGTACTAGTGTAATTTTGATCTTCCTTCCATTAATAACATGGCATCATGTTATGGCTTGGTTTTGACTTTACTATTTCAATTTAATTGAATCAATGTCGTGATCGCTGTTTGTTGATGGTTAGATAATTTGGAGATGCAGTTATTAATAAAACAACAATTCAACCCCAATCATTTACGGTCTTATCCGCCAAACAGGGCATGTATAAAATCATAACTATTATACACATGATTTAGAATTTTGCTCATTCGGAGTATCAGACAAAACTTGTGAAAACATAAGAATCCTACTCCTCACTCTGGAACACCATAGAAAATCCTCTCTTCAAAGATGATGTTTAAAACTTGAATATGTGTGAAACAAAAAATTAATAATAATTCATGTGTTGCACTGGGTTGTAAAGCATTCGAAACATGCATTGAAATTTAAATTGCCACGAGAAAGAGTGAAACTCTAATAGGGAGAATGAAACGTGAAGATATACTTGAATATAAGGCAATCTTATATGTTGCAAAGAACATTTGGAACCTCCTAGCTTTGTACCCTGACCCTAGCTAAATTTGTTGTTAGATACTACCCACCACATACTTCCGTTGGCGATGAAACGAGAATCCGAAAAAAGTACAGATCTTGCTAATTAAGAAGTGAATTGAGGAAGACGCCTCTCCAAAACAGCTAAGAGCTCCCTGCACTGGTTCACCCCATCTAACACTCCACCACCAAGCCTTGTCACAGCTTCAACAAGCTGCCCTCTCAACCTTTGCGACACCAAACGGCTGCCTGCTGCATTGACACACTCCCTATATAGTGGCAGGTAAGCAATGGCTACCCTCAACTCGGGAGGTAGAACAGCCAAGCAGATGGGAGATTCACCCCACTTTAAAACCCTCACAATGTTCATGTAATGTTCTTGTCCTTGCCGTATTCCGTCTGAGAAAGCTCTTTCTGACCAATGCTCCTGAAGAAACGCCCTTAGCTCAGGATTGGCATCATCATCATCGCCAGACCCAGCAAATGTGTCTGCAACAGTATAAGTAGTTGCAGGGTCACCTAAGAAATCAGAACCAAGAAGAAATGCAACACCTTTAAGAGAATTAACACCGCCTACTCTACCAACAGCCTTGAGAATATTAAAGCTTCGTTGTGCAAGAAGATCATCAGGAAGTTGATGAAGGAGATAGGCTGCAACATCAGCTTGGTTGCTAGAAGTTGCAGCTACCAGAGCAATGCACAGTTCTGTGTCCCGGCAACCCATTTTTACAAACCACTCAACCACTGGCTTACAGCCGCTCTTAGCAGCTCCCAACAGAGGGGTCCTGAAATCCACGTTATTACCCTCTTCCACAAGACATTCCATAGTACCAAACCTAGAGTACAGGCAAGCAAAATTAAATGCCCAGTCAGCATCGACGTTCAGGTTGTTAATTCGGGCAGCCTTCAATATGATGCGCACAATCTCTGTATTCCCAAAACTAGACGCTTGAACCAAAGAATAATTGAAAATGCCACTCTCCACACCCCCTTTCACCAGCATACCAAACAAACCTGGTATTGCAGTAGTTTCCCAATTCCCAGATGTGCAACCCAGATCGAAAGAAGTAGAGGATAAATATAGGGGAAGGCAAGCAGCATAGAAGGCCATTGAGAAGTCTTTTGATGTAAGCTGGATACCAGCAAGATCTAGAAAGGTTTTCAATGCCGATAACTGAAGTTGGATCTCATCAACCTGTACGTTGTAATTAGCTCTATCCTTACTACCCCGATGACCACTAAAATTGAAGCCTGGCCCTATCCATTCAATAAACTCATGAATTTCCTTAGCAATAGGTTCTCCCTCTAATAACACATGACCATCGCATTCCAGGACAAAATCACGTAACCTCTGAGCCATTTCAGTGACTGCACATGCAATAGTACTTGTCGTTCGGCCATGAAAAGCTTGAACACACGATGCCATAAATGAAGTCCTCACAACAGCTGAGCCGAAGTCATGTGCACCATTGGCGACGATCTTCTCAATCAGACCCATGATTGCATTGCTTTCTTCCTGGGTGCTTAAGAACCATACTGAGTCCAAGGTGATGCACAAAGCATCATTCAGAGCTTGTGGACCAGCTAACAGAATCAAGCTCTCTGATAGCTTCCAATCATAAAAACTCACCGCACGCTGAAACAAGTTACCCCACTCATTACTTTCTTGCGTTGTGAGTTTCTGTACTGGCCTAAATGTCTCACTTTTCTCCATATTATCGACCACAAACAAATCTACTCAAACTATCAATCAATTTTCACAAACAGAACCATCAAAGAGGAATAAGACGATAACGAAAGAAACCCATTTGCTCCATTGCCTCAGAATTTCAATTCCACCAAACCCAATTGATTAAATCGATCAAAAAATGCATAAATCACAAGCTGGTTTGCAAAAGATTATTTATTCCCTATTGCTCTTTTTTCTTCTTCGAGCATTACTCCAAGTTAACAAATTGAGAGCAAATTTCCCAACCGGCAACAGCAAAGAACCTAAAATCAAACCCTAAAATTCATGAATTTCTAAGCATGCTGGTGTGGAGAGACCACCCAAACCAAGCAAATCAGAGACACGAGTTCGAATTACCTGGCAATGCTTGGAGTATCACCGGAAAACTTATAAACCCTAATTTCAGCGAACCAAACCCAGACGTCGATAAACCTCCTACTCTGATTGATTGTGGTCGACTAGACTGCGACGAGAAAGAGCTTTGTCAATACTGGGTGTTTCATGGTTTCCCTCCTTATTGAGTCAAAGTATGTCATGCCTTGGTCTTCGAAAGGTCCTGTATGTTATAAAGCTAACTTTTGCTAGCCGGTGAAACGTATCACATTGTTTAATTTCGTAATTATAACATAAAATAATTGCATTTAAAGAGAGATAGAAAAATATATTGATATTATTGTTTTCATTTCTTTTCTTTTATGTGTGTTATGATCATACATGAAATGCTTCTTTTATAGAGTTATATCCGTGAAGAATCATAAAAGTGAAATGTGTGACTTTTTGAAAAATATCATACAACAATAACAATGTTATTATTCTTAAGTCTTCCTTACTTTTCATCTTTGGCTAAAATATGTAGACATTCACTCCCACAACTTTTACGACACTATATTAGTATTATGATTTCACTAACATTACATGTATAAAAATAAAAAAAGTAATCTTATGGCTTGTTGAGTCGTAATTAGAACTGAATCTATGTAAAATCACAGTCCAATTTTTCATTAAAGTTGTTACAAGATAATTTGGTATCGAAATATGAGATCTATTGACTTATATAAGCTGTTTACTAATTTTAACACAATCGAAATTTAAAACCAATTTGATTAGTAAAATGCCCATGAGAATACTACCCGGACGAAGAGACCAATTCCTTTAAAATGAGGAGTTGAATTCTCTAGCTTGCACAGACTCTGTGTTAAAGGTGGGTTTGACCGTGCTTGGGCCGACCCATTTACAGTCACCCACGTGGGTTTGGTCACGTTTGGGTAGCCCATTTAATAAACGAATTATGTTTTGTTTGGCCCACTTAATACAACATTAAGTCTAGCCCCGCCCGCGGCCCTGATCCATTAAAACCGGGACCATGCTGGGTCAAGTCACTAAACGGGCCAACTTTGACAAAACAAACTTTAGTTATTTCAAAAAACCTTATTTGAACATGTTATTAAGTTAAATATCACTAATATTAAAATGTATGTTTGTAATTGAAAAAAATATGAGTAAGTGAGATTATTCAAAATGGGTTAGGGTCGCAGGTCGTACTCGACCCATGATGAGCCCGACGGGCTATGGGCTAGTCGGCTCTTTGGACCTAAATCTTAGGCATACATTGCTCATGTCTTACAAATCGTGTTGTGCTGTGCCTTATTTAAGTGATGTATTATATTTGTGCCAACCCGCCCGTTTGACACCTTTAATGTGTGTTTTGATTTATCCGTAAATAATAAATACATAAGTAATTTGTAGTTAAAATATAATTTTTCATTTCTTATTACGAATTAGTAAACGAGACGAAAAAAGTGAGAAATATTAACCAAAAACCCAAGCCTAAGGGGATATAAAAGTCATTTTGTCACACACCCCTATTAACCTTTGCCTTCGTACCAAAACAGCCGGTTTACAACCAGAGTTTGCGTTTCAGCTCCTTCCTGTTTGGTTTGAGAGAAAAGAAAGGAAAATCAAAAGATGCGAAAGTTCGATCCATGGCCGGTGTTTTTCAAGCGCGAGTGGAGACGGAACTGGCCGTTCCTGGTCGGTTTCGCCATCACCGGCACGCTCATCACCAAGTTCTCTCTGGGTCTCACCGGTACTCCATCTGATCCTTTCTATATCTATCTGTGAATATATACACATATATAGATATAAAGATATGTATGTATATTTGCATATGTAAATGCATTTCAGTAAGCTGGATTTTGTTTGGACTGATTTGGGGCTGTACAAATTTTGCAGAGGAGGACGCGAAGAATTCTCCGTTCGTGCAGAGGCATAAGAAGAAGTACGCATCTGAAACCCTAATATCTTGAAAAATTTCACCCTAACTTAAGTTTAGTATAATTAATTTCTCAATCAGTCATTGATCCAAAAATCTGGTAATCCCTGCTAGTTAATTTGTTATTTGTTTTTTCACTGATTTTCTCACTTGCTTGTATGTAATGTGGATTTTGAGAAGAAATGTGATTATTTAGTAATTGAGGTTGAATTTATGAACGACAATGTTTCGGTCAGCATTGATATTTCGTGGTTTTGGGCAATGTTTGGAAATTGAACTAAGTTTTTTGTTGTTCAATGAGTCATTCATGTTCACTTTAGCACAATGGATGAATGAATTCGGGACTGCTATTATATGAATCAAACGAAACTCGATAGAATATCGGGTCAGTATTTTTTCTTTTGTGAGTCTGCCCTTAGCAATGATTCATCAGCACAAAGTAGGGCGAGATGATGTATAAATTTGCTTGAGTTATATAATTAGCAGTGCTTGATTTCTATAAATGGTTTTCCTTTTGAGTTGGTCAATCGGTTCATAGTTGTTAATATCTTTCCGAGTTCTCATAGATAAATGTATAGATTTCATGATAGCAAAAGCAAGAAATCAAGTTTTGTTTAGTAGAAATAGGTTAGCTATCCGTTTACTCCCACACTATTGTCTTTGATGTGTGCTGGATAGTGGTTTGAGATAATGAGTCGTAGTGGATAGTTGCATTGAAGACTCTATTGGATTACTTTCGAACAATACGTATAGAGTGAGGCACCCCTCATTGTTGTTGATTGCATTGACTTACCAATAGCTCGCAGTCATCTGAAATGTCGTTCAAGAATCACGTGTTTTGTTAAAAAATTACCATCTCATTTGTCGCTGCCTTCAAACAGTATATTTGTGGCCAATAAACTGCACAGAGATGAGCTAGCTTGAGTGTGCATGCTTGAGTTGAACAAATCGGCTAAGCTTTGCTGCAGATTATGTATTATCAATCAACTCATAGTTTGTAGGAATTGAGTTGAGATCTTTTTTATAAAGGAAAACTAAGGAAAAAGACTTGAAAACTTTGAGTTTTAACAAAAATGACAAAATAAAGGGTAAAGTGAATAGTATCAGGATTGACTTTTTAGTGTAAAAATGTGATTTTTCGTTAAAGTAAACAGTGTCTGAAGCTTTTCGTTAAAGTTTCCTTTTTATAATGGTTATACGTTACCACCTGACTACACACAGAAGCAAGATCGCCTACGTGCTATTGTTATTGCGTTCCATTGATATTTATTTGCAAGGTTTTGTTTATCTGTATGTGATTGCCAAGGAAAGCTAGTTACTAATATTGCTCCCGTATTTGTTCTGCTTTCAGGTGACTTAGCCGGGCACCCAATGTAGGTCAGCACTTCAGTCGGCCAGACGACGAAAGGCGTTTAATAACTATTTTATCTTGGTTCTTTTCAACCTAGCACGGTTCATGATGGTGTACACATAAGTTTTTAGAACAAGTCGTTATGCTCTACAAGAAAACCCTGCGTGATTTGCTTTAGTTTGTTAAATGCACGCTGCTTTTCGACGGGGAAATTCGGTCTTTACGCCTTAATTACGACCTCAATTGTGTCCCCGATGTCTTGCTTGATTTTGGTTAAACTCTGTATGGTCTTGGTAATCACATTTGGATAAAATATAGCAAAGACTTTAGTACGGATGCTGATGAAATTTTAAATTTGTAGAATTCCTTATGGTTCGACCGGTAAAGTGTTACAGGTAACAACTCATTTGAAATCAATTATATTCAGGGTCTATGAGATTTTTCACCGATAATTCAAAATGATTTGCGGTGGACAAATTTAATAATGACTTCCATCGATTTTTTCCGGATAACCCAAAATAATTTACAGGAGACAAACAAAGTAATTTTGTAAAGTGAATTAACAAGTTGTCATTGAACGATTACAAACTTTAAGTGGGTCACAATTGCAATTTACCTGGAAATTAGTACTGAAACAACTATTTTGCCTTCTACTTTCTTTTCCGTCTTACGATTTTACCACCAAGTGAAGCAAATTAATCTGCTGGGATTAACATACGAACTAATAATCGAGCACAATGGCCGTCTTAGCTCAGCTGGTAGAGCGCGTGGCTTTTAACCACGTGGTCGTGGGTTCGATTCCCACAGACGGCGTCTCGTAGTTTATTATAATTTTACTTATTTATCCATCATAATTTTATTTTTCTCTTTATTTATTTTTTTTTAATTTTATAACAGTGATGAACCATGTCTGAATTCTGATTATCGCTGAGATTTTTGCTTCAAAATTTATCCACCTCACCTGCAACTCCAAACCCATAAACTCCGACGATGAACCGGGCCCACCTCACCTGACTAACCAATCCCTCCCCGAAGCGCTTCTTCACACAAAAATGGCGGCGGCGGCAGCAGCGGCGAGAATAAACCTCTTCTTAAACCCCACAAACCCCCTCAATTACAAAGCCACCGCCCATTTCAGAACCCACCTCCGCTTCCAAAGAAGAAGAACCAAAGCTACGTCTTTCTGCACCCGCGCCTCCGCTGCTCCCCGCCACGACGATGCATCGGGCGCCGGAGGCAGTGACCCTTTTGTCCTCACCACTCCGCTCTATTACGTGAACGCCCCTCCCCATTTGGGTAGCGCTTACACCACCATCGCCGCCGACGCCATTGCTCGCTTCCAGAGGCTTTTGGGTAAGAACGTCATTTTCGTCACCGGCACTGACGAGCACGGTGAGAAGATTGCCGCTGCCGCCGCTGCTAATGCAGCCGCCCCAGCTCAACACTGTGACCTCATTTCACAATCTTACATTTCGCTCTGGAAACAGGTCATTTTATTTACCCTCCATTGGAAATTTACCGCTTTGTTGGATTGGCGTTCAAATTACAGTTCTTTTTTTTTCTTTCTTTTTTTGTGATTGCAGTTAAAAATTTAGTAATTTTGTTGAATTGGTGTTCATATTACTGTGCTTTTTCACTTTTTGATTCCGGGTGTTTGTGGTGATTGCAGTTAGATATATCTTATGACAAGTTCATTCGGACTACCGACCCCAAGCATGAGGCAATTGTCAAGGAATTTTACTCCAGAGTTCTTGCCAATGGAGACATTTACAGGGCTGACTACGAGGGACTTTACTGTGTTAACTGTGAAGAGTATAAGGTCACTTTCTGCATCTGATTTCGATATGCCTTTTGTTTCACTAACCCTCAACTTAAACTGACTCAATTAAGCTTATTCGTAATGAAACTTT